CCTCCTTCCCTTGGGATTCGACCTAGACTTACCCTATACCTCTGGTTGGTTTAGCTTTATAATTATTGTTTTGGCCGAGAAATCTAGACCCCAACGACCTAGATTCACCCCTTGTCACCGTGCTTTAGGAAGTCTTGAACACTAACATCCTGCCCTGTTACATCCTAAGTCTCTTTATAAAAATCACTACCAAATCCATCAGGACCTGGAGCTTTGCTTCCATCAATTGCGAACATTGCCTTCTTGATCTCTTTAATAGTATAAGGAGCTTCTAACTTAGTTTTCAACTCAGAGGAAACTATAGGCCCACTTTAAACAATTGCTCTATTAACCTAAACTCTACAATCATCTAAATTGCCAAGAAAAACATCATAATACTTCAGAAAAGCATTTGGCAAATCACTGGGATTGTCTATCCAATTGCCATCCATGTCATGAATAGTGTAAATTTTATTTTGCAACTGTCTCTTCTTCAAAGTTGCATGAAAAACAGCAGTATTCTGGTCTCCCTCTAAAAGCCAAGTCACTTTCGACTTTTGACTTAAGAAAGAAACATAATTTTTCTTAGCAGTACTTGCCTCACTTTAAAAATTTCTAATATCAATTTCCCTGGGATTCTGATGCATAGCATTTTGAAAAGACTGCAGTTTATCAGAAGCCACCTTGTAAGCTACCTCGACATCCTGAAAACCCTTCTTATTCAAACCAATTAAAGCTTTTTTCACCTCTCTTAGTTTCCTGGTAACTTGAAACATCCAAGTTCCTTAAAACTCCACCTTCTAAGCTGAAGAGACAAGATCCTTAAAATCTGGAGCCTTACTCCACATATTAAAGTACCTGAAAGGTTTCTTCCCAGTAATCTGCTCAAGAAAGACATAAACAATACCAGGACAATGATCAAATTCTTCTTCATTCAGGAAGCACATCTCAGAATGCTCAAAGATATCTTCCCACTTCTCATTCCCCATCCCCAGCCCCTATCAATCTTAGAGAACACCCTAGTTGTGCCCTCTTGTTTATTGTTCCAAGTGAAGAAATTTCCACGGTATTTAATATCAACAAGACCACAATCTGCTACACACTGTCTGAAGTCAGCCATGTCATTAATAGAGACAGGAGCCCAATTCTCTCTTCATCATTGAGAACACAATTAAAGTCCCCTAATATTAACCAAGGAGCATGAAAAAGAGCTATGTTGACCTCTCAAGTTGTCCCAAAGCGGACCTCTATCCCTTGCATTGTTGAAACCATAGGTAAAAGTGCAATGGAAAGGAACACTCCTATTTTCGACTTGCACACTACAATGGATAAGCTGACTAGTGCTCAGCAAGATGGTAACACACTACAAGAAAAACTATTTTGGGCGACGGATGAGTTTATTAAGGGCAACAAATCTTCATTTTTTTGCACATTGTGAACCGTTTGTGCGACAAGATTAAAATTGTTGCCCTAAATTAAATTATGGGCAACGATCTTCATTACTCGTGGCACAACATGACCTTTGGGCTACGACTTTTCTCTTTTGTTGCGTAAAACAATAATTAGGCCACGATAGCGGATATAACGTCGTCCTTATTTTACATTATGGGTAACGCAATTTTGGAACTTGTTGCCCAAAAATCCAGACAAACAGGCGGAAAATTTTTTCAATCCAAAATTTTGCCGCTTATCTTCGAATTCTAATAGGTTGAACTGTGATAAGTCATAACCCTAGGAAATGCAATTTGCAGTTTATTTTTACCGTCCCTCACTATTATCTCCCCCGGCCCCCCTCTCACTCTTTCACTCTGAATTTTCAATGGCTGTTAATGAAAACTCACTTAAGTTGTCAAATCATAGGTTTCATAGAGTTGTTTATTCGATCGCTCACCATCGTTATGACTAGTAAGGTAACTATTTTGTTCTTACTCCTATCAATTTTGTTAATTATATGACTAATTTGATTTAATATTCTAATATTTTTGTTATTTATTTTCTTACAATTGGATTTTTTAATCATTGAAGGTTTTTCAATTCGAAGAACTGTATGTACGTAGCTTCTCTAAGCCTTTTTTCTGCAAAATTATTCTCTTTATTTTATTTGTTGATGAAATATTTGTCATTTGATAATTTTATTTTTTAGGTAATAAATTTGATTTCGTTCAATTTATCTTTTTTGGTCGTAGGAAATAACATTGGTAAATTTGTGCCATTATAGTGTATAATTATTTATTGGGTATTGTTGTTTTTGAGTTTTAGATTTTGATCTTTAATAATGTTTATTGCTAATTATTTGTATATAACAATGCAGCCGTGTAGGTTAGGTTCCCAACAATGAATTGTTATGGATATTTTAGATCGAAGAAATCTCTTAAAATTCTACATATTGGGTAAGTTACTTACTAGTTTACCATTGTTGAATAATATGTTGTTTGACTTTCATAATTATGATTTTTAATAGTAAATTAGTATAATTGATTAACACTAATTTATATATTGGATAATATCTTTTCAAGTTGTAGTTGATTTGTGTATGAATGAATACAAGTGGTTTCATCTGAATTGTGGTATGTTGTATTGGTAAAACGTGTATTTTTTTTGTTTTGTTTTTTTTTTGTTTTTTTTTTTGAGTCCAAACTAATGGTTAGCCCTTTTTAACTCTTGCAGACTCTTATCAGATTCAGATCCATGGTGACGCAGTCTCCTCTAATTAGCAACTCAACTTTGTCCTTAAAACCTTTTAATCATGTGGTTTCATGTATTTTCTCTTAGAGCTAGTAATTAGATTATCATTACACATGTATTAGAGGTTTTCCAATTTCCAATATTATGCGATGTAGAAGGTTGCTTACTGTAAATAGATGTACTACTTTTTTTATTGGTGACTATGGATATTTATTTTCCTATGAATGATAACCTTTATTATACTCTATAATTAATTCTAAGTATACTATAAAGATTTAAAGTGTGGGTGGATCAAGTTATGCTCTACAAAATATGAGTAAATTTTTAACTTACAAGAAATATGTGACAATAATAAATAAAATTTAAAAAAGCATTGTATTAAAGCTTTTTTTTTAGTAACTAATACAAAGTTTTGGGCAACAAATCTTGATATCTCGTTGCACAAAATAGCATCTCTGGGCGACGACATCTACTGTCGTGGCCCAAAATACCACCATGTGCAACGGATTAAGTTGACGCACAATCAATGGCATGGGCAACGAAGTATTCATTCGTTGCCAAAAATAGCATGGGCATCGAGGATAAGGCGACGACCCCACGACGAGTTGATATTCGTTGCACAAAGGATTAATTATACAATTAATTTAATTATAATTCTATTTTATTTTATTATTGAAAATAACTAATTAATGTTTGTAAAGTTAATTAAATAAAATAAGCAATTTAGGTAATAAAAAGCGAATTCGAAAAAATATATTAAACTATATCAATATGGGTGTCTATGTGTAGGTTTTGAAAAATTATGAACAATGGTAATTTTTTCATAATTATTTACTTTATAATTTTTTCTTAAAATACAATTGAAAAAAAAAAGATACATGATAACCAGGCCACATGACGTGACCTGGTTGGTTTATAATTTTATATTAAGTTAGATCCCATGCCACACACGGTAATTTTCAATAATTCTAATAATAAATTATTCAAACAAATAACAAAATTATCATATGTTGATTTGATATTTGCATTTTATTGTTTAAGCATGGAACTTCAATTACACAATAAAAAAAATATATAATCTTGTTGTAATACATAGTACATAATAAAGTATGTATTTTCTATTAAGAAAAAATATAGTCCATGTCACAAATTATGTTAAGAATATTATTTTTTATTTTTCTGTGTAAGTTTATAATTGTTAATAAGGTTTTTTTTAAAGATACGTCAAATCTTTTTAATGTTCATAATTATTACTTTATATAAATAAGAGATTTGTTTCTTAAATATATTTTTTTTCAAAAAAAAAACCCCGAGTACACACTAGGAGATGACACGTGTCATTGCTGGTGTGTCTTCATATAACTAATATATAAAGCTAAACTTTTAGCCAGGTCACGAAATAGTGACACTTGTAATTCCAACTTTTTGCCAAGTGTCGCACCACGTTGGATAGATTTAAATAAACTTCCTTAGATAAAAAAGTTAGTTTATAATTTTATTTGGATAGAATTTTAGGATAAAATTGTTAGTTTAGAGTTTTATTTTTGATTAAATATCAATATTTCAGATGTACAAATTGATTTATGATTTTATTAAAAAAGTTATTAGATTATAATTCTAAAAAATTATTAGATTATAATTCTGAAAAATTATTAGAATATAATTCTAAAAAATTATATATAAATTTATTTTTTATATCATAATATTTCTTAGAGAGAAGGAAGTTGTTTAAAGCGTAAAACGTCCATCTATAATGTATACTAATAATAAGTTAAAATAATATACTTCACTATCTAATAGAATTTTATTACTATGTAGACCTGTCAATTAGGGTCGGGTCATGAGTCATCATAAATTGAGTCATTTCAAGTGTAAGTCAAGAAATGTTCAACCCTTACCCAAAGTTTTGGGTTCAGGTCAACCCAACAGGCTTTGAACATTTAATTTATTTATTTTTTGCTAATTTTTTAATGTATTAAATCGTACATTTCCACCAATATTATTATTAGTCATTACGTGCGTACGAGATAGCAAATTGTCACAAAAGCACATATATTTTAAAATTTGACATACAGATTAAAATTTATCTCAAAATTCAATAAACAACCCGGGCACCGCACGGGTCACAAAAATACTTTAGTATATAGTTATTGATTGATTACACAGGAACCAAAACAAATGTTTACCATGGTAATATTCTAGGGTATATTATCACACCATTGTAGTAAAGATTATCATATTTTGGATGGTAACAAAATTATACACGAGTGTTGTATATAGTAGGAATTAAGCTTAACAAGTTGGAATTATGGATGAAATAATTAAGACCTATTTCAAAAGTGTTGCCATCACCACAATCTGCTGGTGAAGCTCTCAGAGGAGCACAACAATGGCGTTACTTGCCAACCCTTTAATCCTCTCTTCTTGCTCCATTCGCAAATTCAAACCTCTTATTCTCTCTCAACGTCGCTTCTTAATCAATGTCTCCTCTATTCGTTTATCCTATTTCAGACCTCGGCTTTTCTCCGGTAGTTCTTTATTGTGGAAGAAATTCCCACTTTTAATTTCGTATAATTCTTCTTTATTATTTATAATTATATTTCATAATTGCTGTTTTGGTCGCAGTTTCAGCTTCGAAGAATGAGGTGTTTACATCGCCAGAGGTGGCGAAATCATTTGATTTTGATTGGGAGGAGCGCATTTACAATTGGTGTGTTCTTGACATTAATTAACTAGTAATGCTATGAAGTTGTATAGATTATATTGTGAATTAATGCGGTTTAATATGACTTTGTCCGTTGCATTATCTCTTTGTTGTCTTACTTATCTGCAGACAGCAATTTTATAGCTGATATTCTTGAATAATTATTTTTCCAGTTTCATTGAATTTCTTGTATTTTATGTGCCAAAAATCAAAACCATCCATTTATTTGACTGTTACGATATTTGTGGGAGTTGGGCGAAATTATCTAGCTGGACATGCCACATCAATTTATTATGATTATTGTCAATTGTTTTTTTTTTTTTTTTTTTTTTTTTTTTTTTTTTTTTTTTATATATATATATATTCATTTCATATTTACCAAGCTAGCAAGAAGTGCTACAATGGTGGAGCTACTAGCTTAAGAAATTTTAATATTTGCAAGCAAGTCTCTTGTTAAAGTCATTAAAATGTAGTAGTAGATGAGAAGAGGGAATGGGGGGTGAGATAATGTTTGATTGGATGTGTATAACAGGAAGAAATTTTAACTTTGAGGAAATTCATTCTACTTGCGTTAGATCCTCGACACTTTTAGACATGGGTAGGACACTCCGACCCTTCATTTTTGACCAAAATCATGGAATTTTTTCACAAAATCGCTGCGTTGGACACTTGGATTGATTCTGCAAGCAACATAGCTGTAACAATTGTGCATATTTCCCTTTCACTTTTAAGCTTGCTTAACACATTTGGGTCCTCTCTCTCTCTCATTATGTCCTTTTCATGGTGAAGGCAATTTATGGCATCTTAAAGTGGAAGTGGCTGCTTTCAGGTGGGATTCTCAGGGTTACTTCAAACCAAATATGGACCAAGGAGGTGAACCTTTTGTTATTTCTATGCCACCACCTAATGTAACAGGATCATTACACATGGGGCATGCAATGTTCGTTACTCTTGAGGTTGGTGAAGTAATGTTTGTTTTCTTATAACATCTTAATCGTCTTATGTGTTTCATGGAGGGAAAACATGTTCTTGCATGTGTACTATCACTATGTGATTTGCTAGTGCAGAGATGGAACTTACTTGTTCTTGCATTTGTAATTTGGCGGCTTTCCTTAGAAATTATAAAGTGTTGCTGGGAATTATTGGGATTCCACCTAATTTTTTAAAAACATTTACAACCTAATAGGTCCATTATGTGACTTTTGGGAGGTGCATGGGCCATTATACTCCACATATTAGCTATTTTTCATATTTAGAGAAATAATATGATACATTGGGAGTAAATGTCTAATTAAGCTTTCTTATCGGATTGGACGATGTTTTTAGCTTTTATATAGCTTAATTGAGCTCATGGCCATGAGGTTTTTTGTGCCTTATTCATATGTAACATATAGATACTTTTTTCTCTTTCCTTTATTCTTATTTCTTGATTTTGATGGACGTGCGATGCCCCTTGTATTTCTTCTCCCTCTCTCTCCATATGTTGCTATGATTGGAATTTTTCTTAATGAAAAATGATGATTGAAAGTGGATTTTTGTATATCTTTTTGGAAAATGTTTGAATTTGTCAATAATGAAATTATAGGGAAAAAGCTTTTTTTGGAGGCATGAAAGTACTAACAAAACAAAATAATGTAAAGCTTTAAACTCAGAACTTGGGCATAGCTGAAAGTATGTTTCATCTCTCTTTTTCCAAATACTATTTAATTTAATTTTAAACTTTTTTAAATATTTATAAATATTTAAAGGTATGAGAACCCCCTTAAATTCTTTACCTGTTCAATTACCTATAACTCTATAGCCACCATGTTATTATTGAAAGTACTCTTCACTTTCAACACCTTAATCCCATGAGTGGGGTCGTCATGATAAACTAACATGAGGACTTCTCTATAGGTTACCCATCCTAGTACTACTCTTAATCATTGTGGGTAAAAGAGAAGATGTAAAAAGAGGGGGGGGGGGAGGGGTTATACCGTTATACGATAAAGTAGGAGAGAAAAGGTAAAAGGTGGGTGGGTGGGTGGGTGTAAGATGAAATAGGAGAGAGTAGGGGTGAGCAAACCGGGTAACCGATCAAAATTTTAGGACCCGGACTTGGAATTGGTCGGAACCGGGTCCTAAAATTCGAATCTGGAATTGGAATTGGTTCAATTGGGTCCTAAAATTTAGGAATTGGTATTGAAACCACCGGGTACCGATTCCGGTTCCGGGTTTCTCACTTATGTATGTAATTGTTAAATATAATACAAATTATAATTCTTATTTTAGTTAGGTTTATTTTTAGCGTATGTTAAAAATTTAAAACGTGTGTTCTAAGCTTTTTAATTATATGTTCCAGATTTTAAAGCATATGTTCTATTTTTTTTACACATATGTTCTAAATTCTTTACTCACACTTTCTATATTTTATATCAGTTTATTCTAAATTTTTATTCACATGTTCATAATCTTAAATCAGATGTTCTAAATTTTACTCATATGTTTAAAATTTCATAGAGCAGATTTTATAAATTTTTAATCACTTGTTCTAATTCTTAAATTAAATGTTCTAAACATATTACTCACATAAATGTTTTAAATTATTACTCATATGTTTTGAGTTTTAATTTGAGTCACATGTTCTAAATTTTAACTCACATGTTCTAAATTTTAAATTTGTTCTCACATAAGTATGAATTCTCACATATGGACCTATTATCACCGGATCCCTCATATATATACATATATATGTATATATACATATATATGTATATATATATATATATATATATATATATATACACATATATGTTAATGGCTAAAAATCGTGCATTGGCAACTAATTTGGTTGTTGTAGTTATGTTCTTATTCTATGTGCCCAAAAGCATCACAGAAATAAATGAGTTATTTTATGGGATGAAGTTGGAATTAGTCATTTTAATGATTTTTGGGAGAATGTCTCTCCTCTATTTCATGTTTTATCTAGGTAAGTAAAGGTATATAACCTATGTTCACCGGACTCGGCTAGAGTGTCCGTGTCGACACGACACGATGTGGACACGGACACGAAATTTGTGTCAGATTCGGTAGTTTGCACTCGGACACTTCAGAGAGAGGGGAAGGGGAGAAACCATAGTATAAAAACTCCGCATTTTCGATCGACTGATAGACAACTTAAACCCCCCAAAAACAGCTTTAATTCGTGAGTTCGTCGGAGTTTTGTGGTGGACTCCATTGTTGCCGGCGTGTAGCAACTACATGAATGCATGATAAAGAAATAGAGAGTGAAAGAAGAGAGTGAAAGACTGAGGGGTGAGGGCTGATAAAGTGATAAGAACGAGGTTTTGTGGTAAGTGGGACAACTGTATTGATAAAAAAAAAAGGGTGGACAACTGTGTGATGCTCTTCATTTTGGTTATATTTTATTTTTTAACCACTCAACCTCTTTTTTTTACTTTTAATATTTTGATTTGATAGAAAGTTGTAGTTACTGACGACATTTATTGGTTTTTTTTGACCACTCAACCTCTTCACTTTTAACTTTTTTTTTTTTTTTTTTATTTATAATTTTTTTTGCACAAAATGAAAGTGCCGTGTCCCCGCACCCGTGTCCAAATATAGGATAGAGTCCCCGTGTCCTAAAGTTTTGGAAATTGACGAATCGGACACTCGAACACGGTCCGACACACGTACCCGAGTCCATGTAACATAGTATGTAACTATGAGTGAGCTGGGGCTTAGAATAAATTAACAAAGTTAAGAGAAGATTTTTGTAATAAAAATATATTGGATTTGATATGTAATGGTTTTGGGAGTATAATTTGATTTCATTTTTCTTAGATCACTTTTATACTACCTCCGATTTTTTTTAGTTGCAACTTTGGAATATTTTATATCTCTCAAATAATACCCCAAAGTTGCAACTAAAAAAAATCGGAGGTAGTATTATTGTTATGGTTTGGTTTATTCACAAAAGCTGCTTTGAATTTGTTATCATAAGATTTTAAGTGCATCGATAACACTCCAAAGGTTTGCATGGTGTTTTTCTAACCTAAATGTGGCTTCTATATTTAATAAGAAGGGCTTAATGGGGTTGCTACAATTAGTTTGTCTTAGATGGAGAAAGTAATAATAAAGAATGGTTCAACTTTAGAAATTGGTGTCCTAGACAATGCCATTTGAGATTAAATGACTTTATGGGCTTATTCCTATGTAGGGTGTATGTTTATGCAGCTTGTGCTTGCTTGGCACTTGGAAGTGTCCCTTTATGTGACATCTTGAATTTTATCGTCATTTTTATCTTATGTGATGCTTTCCTTATCCATCTAAAGTGAAGAGGTGTTAATGGATGAATGTTCATTTTTTTCTACAATACAGCTGTGTGCTTGATGTTTCAACTGGGAGGTTTCTTGGAGTTTCTAAAGTCTGATGCCTTTTATGGTCTGTTGTAGGATATTATGGTTAGATATCACCGCATGAAAGGAAGACCAACAGTGTGGATTCCTGGTACTGATCATGCAGGCATCGCTACTCAGGTTTGGTTCTGGATCTGTTCCTGGTAAACATAATGTGATTACCCCTACAGAAACATGTTGCACAAATGGGGAGTTGATAGAGTTTAGTTATCTTCACCGCTTCCAATTTTTTTTCGTTTGGACAAAATTGCAACTGGCTAATTATGTGTGTGTTTCTTGAAATAACTCATGTTGACTTCCGGAAGTTTCCTTTTGCACCCCCTGGTCTCCTTTTTGTCCTCCATTGAACATGATACTAGTTGACTTGCTTACATGACCTCTGCAAATTATCAATCAGTACTTTCATCTTCATCCATAATCCATATCATCAATGTAAGACTTCCCAGCACCCAGGCTGCACCTTTATTTTCCATTACTATTATTTAAAAATCTCTTTATTTTCGTCATGAAAATGACTAGTATGACTTTCCCTTCTGTTTCCTAACTTAATAATATACTCGGCATTCCATTGCTGTGAAGTTGGCTTTACAATATAATTACAGTTGACCTAATAGCAACTTATATAAACTTAATTATGTTGAATTCGATTACCCCCCTTTTTTTTAGTGATTGTGTGACCTGGATGCTTGGTAGTAGTTGTGCCATTGGTTTGGGAAGGGGGATCGTTTTCAACAACAGCATGTAGGCACTTCCTCCAAATTACATTATGGCTAGAAATTTGCGTGGAGCTAAATGGAACAAAGATTTGAAGAAAGTGGCATTATTATTGCGTGTAAATAATGGAAGTTATAAATTTGGAAAAAAGTGAGGTTTTTTTTTTTTTTTTTTTTGGCACCGTTCGTTTCTCTTTGTCAAACTTTGCGGACTTTTGCCATATTTTTCTACTAATATATACCAAGAAAAAAAGGATCTCATTAAATTTGTCATAGTGTGTATATACAAAGTATCAACTTTTTAGTTTTTGTAAAATACAAATCGAAAATTATTTTTGGTCAAAGGTATGCATTGGAAATTAGGAAAAATTGTGGTGCTAATGAAATTAAAAATCATTAACACACAAATACCATAAGTGATGCCAAATGCAAATTTCTACAATGAGTGTCATTCATTGGGCTGGTAATTGATCAATAGGAAATACTGTTACTGAAAGTTGACGTTGGTGCTGTTAATCAATACTCACTAGGGGCACATTAAGAGTAAGTGTTGAAGGGAAAGGAGTAAGCTGTGATACACAAGTCGAGAGGTATAGGTCGTTAACAATTTGTAGTCTTGAGTGTTAGCATTCTAAAAAAAACTATATGTATGGAAATTGTAAATTGAAATAAAATCTGTATTTTTGAAGCGTTTTATAAACAATAATTGAAGAAACATTGGCAACACTCACTTTATTTTTGGTTTTGTTTTGTCTAAGTTTCTGATCATTAACACAATACACATCTGTTGACTCCAACAAGAAATGAGCTTAATAATTATTCCAAAAGTAGCTATAATCGATTGAGCTGAACACATTCGATAACTTTAATGTCTAATTGAATTGGTTTGAACAGATTTTTGAGCTCAACTGGAGTTCAACTTATTAAAATAAGTTTGAACAAAACAGAACAGTACTCAATTGAGATTGGCTCATATAAATCCCTATGCCCTATTGATATATTATAGAAAAAATTGTCAAAAATAATACAAACTTTGAGCAATCTGCCAAAAACAAGTCTAACTTTTAATTAGTTTTGAATAATACAAACTTTGAGGGTTATGCACTTTAAACAAGTTAAAACCGATTAGTTACCTCGTGAATAGGTTATATGGAACACGTGACATTGTATTATTTTTTTAAAACTATTAAACAACTTTATAAGATAAATAAAAAAAAAACCGGTTAAATAAGATATCGGTAAAATAACTTGTTTAAAGCAGATATCCCTTAAAGTTTGTATTATTTAGAAATAATTAAAAGTTTGACTTGTTTTTAGCGGATCGCTCAAAGTTTGTATTATTTTTGACAATTTTTCCTATATTATATAATCCCTCCGTCCCTATTTCTTTTTGGAATATCCCTTGAAGATTACCTTGTTTCCTATATAGTTACATATCTCCACCATTTACCCCACTTGCATACACTCATAGAAGTGAAAAAAAAAACCCATCCACTTGCAATTTTTTTTTGTATAATCTTACAGCATTTTAATCCTATGGCGCAAACAAATAAGGACAAAGGGAATATTAATATCTTTTGGGCTGAAAAGCTTTTCTAAAATGTAATGAGTTGTGGCTACATGCCAAGTTTGACTAGAATCAATTAGTGTGGGAAAGAAACTGTTTTTTTTATTTTTTATTTTTTGTGGAGCAACTTTTTCAGAAACTGCGGTTTATCTTCCAACATTTTTTTAATTTTTTGCCTCTCAAATTCAAAAACAGATGTTCTTATAAACTGATGATGCTGTGTTTCTTTTCTTGTAGTTGGTTGTTGAAAGAATGCTTGCTTCAGAGGGAATAAAAAGAGCTGATTTAGACAGAGATGAGTTTGTTAATCATGTTTGGAAGTGGAAGGAGAAGTAAGTTTGATTCTTGAATTTATTGACAGTTACACTTGGCGATTCTTGATTCAAAAGTAATTCTTATGAAATTACATGCTCATGCACACAAATACATACCCTTTGGTTTTTTGTTTTTGTTTGTTGTTTATCTATTTTAAATTGTTCCCTATTAAGTTGTGCACTATTCACATGCTTTTATTTGATCGGACATTTTAGCAAATTAATAAAAACAAATGTGTTATGAGTTATTCATACTAAGGTGGATGTAACAACTATATCACTAAGTAACCTTCTAATGTGGTATTACTCTTAGTTAATCCCATAAAGATATGCATAAGTTTCCACTTGAGGAAAAGACAAGACATTGGTTCCAAAAATCCCATATTTGAGGCCGAATGCAGCTTTTTGTAGCAAATTATTAGCAAGATATAGTTCAACGAAGACACTGGTGTGGTGATAAACGCATTTTACATTATCTATATGGGACTAGTGATATGAGACTGTTTTATAAAAAAAACACAGGGTTCTAAGTAGTGTCCAATTGATTGAATATGCAGATGCTGGCTATTTATTTAATGTACACAAATCAATATCTTTAACAATGTATTTACTCATGTATGGTGGAATTGCCATTGCTTGGCTTATAAATGCAATTCCTTCTCTATTCTAATTCGTTTATTCCACCAATGATAACTGCATTGATAGGGAAGAAATATAATGGAGAGAAAAATGTTTGTGTGTCATAGTTGAACCCAAATTAATTGATTTTAAAATGTTGTTTTAAAAGAAAAGTTTTGGATGAAGGGGTTCATGGTTAATGCTACCTTCTAATTTTTGTTAATAGAAATGGTTTTTGCTACCTTTATTTTATGTAGTGGACATTTATTGCATTGCATAATTTGTTATGTTATATAATTGCTATTAGAACTTTGTGCTGTGGATATAACAATTTTTGTGACTTATAGGTATGGTGGAACCATTACAAAACAAATCAAGAGGCTTGGGGCTTCTTGTGATTGGAGTCGAGAGCATTTTACTCTTGATGAACACCTAAGTCGTAAGAGAATTTTTTTTTTTTTCCTTTTTTTATATTGTTTTATCTGATTAATAAACCGTCTGATAATTACATTTTAAAATAATTAATTGTATTTGTGCTGAAGTGGAAGGAATTTGGAGGACAAGATGCCCCAAAAATGTATTCTAACTCAAGAAGCTTGTCCTTCTCTTATTTTGTCACTTGCACACAATTTTTGAATATATCTAATGGTGAGATCTCTGACAAACTGAATCTAGGAAAACCTGAAACCATATAGACTCTGTTTGTTTTGATGGGAAACATCTTTCTTGGTGAGATCTATAGATTCATCTTTTTGAGGCTGAAGGTATGCTTTGTGTCATTGAAAAAAGGTTACAAAAATCCTGTAGGAATGATGTGTGGGAACTGTTTCATCTATCTATTTGGTGCTGCATGCAGAAGGTAACCTGCAAATCTGTATGAACAAAGTTCTTTAACCTAGCATATAGCTAATATAGAGTTGAGTGATGAAGTCTATATGCCATGCATTTTTTAGAAAGAGGCGACTCTATCATCCTTTTGGAAGTCGTCGGATCTTAGTACAGAGGATTACTACCTGTGCTACACTTTTGATGTATGATACGAGTTCATTTTGGAGCATTACAGTTGAGGCACCAAATCAATTTGGCATTTATGGTTTTTGGTTGAGGAGCTTCTTGTGGCGACCCAGATTATTTTTTACTATACCTGATTTTAGTTTACGGCAAAACTCCAAAACTGTTCTGTTCCTTTGTACTTTTTCTGTTTAAAATCTTGTGATTTAATGTACTTCATTCTCTTCTGCAAAATGTGTGGGCATTTATCTCTTCACTCTTGTCATGTCCGAGGATCCTTTGTTGATTCTGATAACTGCATGCCGCTAGGAGGAGCATTTCGCTAGGTTCATTAAGTTATTTTCTCAGGGATTGCTTTCAATTAGTTTATTGTTTCTTTATGCTCTTTATTGTAAAATTCATAAGGTTTAAAATACGTGCCTTAAAGTAAATGAGTGTTTTTGGTGTCATAGTCTAGTACTGGAATAATTACTCTTCTAAGAGGACATTTAATGGCTAGATGGAGATTGGAGATGTTGGACATCTACATAATTTGGTGGCCGAGGTGAGGCTCTTAGATGGTAAATAGCAGCAATGTTCTTTGACCATGTTTGATTGGACCAATAATGTGGAAGCTAAGAAGAAATATCTAAATTAAATTGGATAAGTGTTTTCTATAGTGGCTAATAGTTTTAGATTGTATTGGAGGAGCCTAAAGCAGTCTTTGTCTTTCTGATTACAAAGTCTCTGCCATATGTAGCATTAAAACGGGAGGGCAGATTCATTCTAAGGCATTTGTCATGAGAGAGACAGGCAAAGTTATGAATGTAAAATAAGATGGATTTGTATTGTTGATGATAGATAGATAAAACTGCTACAAATATACAGAGATATAAAGTTATATGGTCTGTAAAGTTGCCTAAAAATCTTAGAGGAAAATTTGGCTAGTTCTAACCATCACCTTAGCAAATGGTTAGCCATGAACCATCATTCTAATGACTTTTTCTCTAACCTTTTATTCCTGTAGCTTTAATTAATTTTTTGTTCTAGAATTTCTATTTTTTTTTTTTGAGATTAATTTTCTTGTTCTAGTTGGTACTCTGTATCCAATGCAATGTTTATTATTTGAGAATTTCTACTTTTGCAGGAGCTGTGATAGAGGCCTTTGTGAGGCTCCATGAGAAAGGCCTAATATACCAAGGTAGATTATCTGAAGTCTATCTTTTTAGTGTGACTGTGAGTAATGTATTCTAAATGTGTGCTGCTCAAGTTCTGTATATGTTTTGTGAATATGTGCTTCTCAAGTTCTATCTATGTTTTGTGAATATGTGCTTCTCAAGTTTTGTGTTGACACCCAGATACACTTTTGGCACATAAAGTCTATCTTTTGCTTCTATCTTCTTGGATTGGTTCTTGAATTAACTGCTTGAATTTGTTCTAAACAAATGTATGATGATGCCCTGCAAAGTCTTTGTTGTGAAAGAAAAGGGGTTAGTTACCAAATGTATTTCCCACTTTTTATTTCCTCTTTAGATTGTTATCAGCCAGGTATATATTTTGTTCTACACAAAGTACTGTTGCACAAAAAATTGACTTTCACAAATATATTTAAGTGATTGTGGTTAACTGCTAAAATAAACTTTAATAGTACAAGATGGAAGTTGCTCACATGCATCTAGTAGACAATTGAATATGCATGGGTTGAATGTTTCAGGTTCATACATGGTAAATTGGTCTCCTAATCTTCAGACAGCTGTCTCAGATTTGGTAAGTTCATGTTTGGTGAAGGTATTGCTGATATTTCTATTTTATGATTTTTCTTGGGTTTGAGTTATATGTTCTATACACAATTAGGAAGTGGAATATTCTGAAGAACCGGGTGCTCTCTATCATATTAGATATCGCGTGGCTGGAGGCTCAAGGTGATTGTTATGCTTTATTTTCCTATTCTAGTTATACGTTAGACCTATATTCTCCTTTAAACCAGATCTTATAAGCTGTAGCTGCTTCTTAGTTTGAAGGGCTTATATGTTTAATTTGTACTGGAGTGATCACCTTTTGTCTTGTCATTGTGATAAATTTGAGAGTTTATGTATGTTGGTACACTATTTGGAATATTTCTAATTTGCTAAGTGAAGCCTTTTTTTTCTCATTTGAAGGGAGGACTTTCTGACAATCGCAACGACAAGGCCAGAGACTCTATTTGGTGATACAGCTATCGCCGTTAATCCTGAGGTTTACGGCATTATCTTCCCTGTTCCCAGATTTTGATTGTTTTGTATGATTGGAATAATTGTGTTGAAGTTTTTCTCATTTACACGCATCTTTCTAGAATATCTGTCAAGTAATAAGTAGTGTTGTTTATTCTCTTACCCATATGTTAAGAGAAAGTTGGATATAATGATGACAGTGGACCTGAAGGCATTATTGTATCAACAACATTTGTTCTTAATTACTAAAATTCTACAAAAAATATAGTTGTCATGTAGGTCCGGTATCCTTGATGCTTTTACTCGGTCATATTCAATGAATTGATATCTAATTTTTGTCAATGTTCCATTCGTCTCTGTTAGAAATATACTTTTAGGTTCAATTTAAGATAAATGAGAGTAACACTTGATGAATCAACTTATCATTTTCTTTTGTCTTGCGAATCTACTAGGAAATAATTTAAGGATAACTAGCAGATTAGCTACCATGTTTAGGACCTATAGGTTATTAGGATTCTGCAGCATTATTAGCATAGGATTGTACTGTAAGGACTAAGGAGTATGAATTGATCTGGACTGTTTGAGGATTAATGGGATCAGTTTTGTATTGGTTAGGATCCTTGATCAGATTCTATGATCCTTTCATGTGACATGTACCGAATATATGAATTTCATTACTAAAAGCTGTATCTTTTCATATTACAAGGTAATGGTACATGTCCCGTCAATTAATGAGCATGTAAAAGTATGTCGGGTTACTTGTGCATTACCAGATTCAACGTGCAGCTGCATTTGAAGAATGGTAGAGGCTGCTGTCAGTGACATATATTGTATGCTTGGCAGTAAATTTTAGCTTTTTTTTTATTATTTATTTCTGCATTCTGACCAAGGTTGTTGTGTTTTGAAGGATGAACGATATGCAAAATATGTAGGCTGTCAGGCAATCGTACCAATGACATATGGTCGTCATATCCCAATTATTGCAGATAAGGTAAAATCGTCACCTATTTGTGTCCTCTGATTTTTGGCACCTTTAATTTCCTTTGACCTTATAAAACAGTTCCTTTTCCTAACCCGGGCCGGATTGATCTGTAAGAGGTTCCAGTCTAGTAGGGCTCCTTCCTTACCTACAAATAAATAAATAAACAAATAAGATTAAGTAGGTTTAATCAAGTAATAATGCAAGGGAGGAATAAGAAGTAAGTGGATTTCATGGAAGGAAGTTAAGCAATGAGAATCTTTTTTTTTTTTTTTTTTTTTTTTTTTTTTTTTTGAATAATAAGCAATGAGAATATTGTAATATGATCATGAAAAGTTGAAAACTAAATTACTTGATTACACGGATTAATAAATACAAATCTGTAAGCTTTCTCTTAATTTCCTTTTTTATTATCGGGTTCATTGTACGATTATATTATGAGAGTGTAGGCAGGGGCGAATCTATTAAGGTGCACAGTGAGTCACGTGACTCACCAGCACCAAAAAAAAAAAAAAACAAAGAGACCGCCTATTACAGATAGGCGGTCTCTTTGATGCTTCTATTTGAGTTTAGACCACTGTTTGTTTTATAAATATCAAAGAGACCGCCTATTAAAATATAAAATAGGCGATTTCTTTGTTGCTGCTATTGTCAGGCATAGCGCTACTTTCATATTTCATTAAAGAGACCTATTAAATAACTGGTCTCTTAAGTTATTCCACGTTTTTTTTAGTAATTCTTGTTTTTATTTATACTATATTTGTGCAACTAATTTAATATTTTCCCACAAAACTAATTAAGTAAAAAAATCATAAAGTTAGTTTAATTTAATAGTTTTATAGTACTAGTATGTATTTTTAATGTCTTATTTTTGGATTGAAATTATTTTGGTAAAATATAACTTTTTTTAATATAATTTTTGGATTAAAACAAGTGATTAATTATTAAGGGTGACTCATAAGTTCGAAAATCCTGGATCCGCCACTGAGTGTAGGGAATGATAGTGAAAAATGCTTCATGTAATTGGATCCACAAGAACTATCTCTGGTAATTATACGTAATAAATTAGTCAAAAGTCATGTCAAATCACACATTATATCATCCCAACACAGCTAGTTTAATATCAGGTACTGCTCTACTCCGCTGCTATGTGGGTTCTGACAGAAATTAGGCATTTAAATATCATTGCGATTATCATTCATATTGCCCAATTGGTACCTATAAGGCTATAAGGATTGTCTATTAAAAGTCTGCCAGTCCTCTTCTTTCTTTCTTGTTATTATGTATTTTATTTTATTTTCCAATTTTCATAGACTGAGAACATCATATAGAAATTTAAGCAATGTGCTTGAGTAGAGGACTAATATTTTTCGGATCAGAAAATAAGAATCACCAGCCTCAAGTTGAAGACATTACTTGAGAGTTACTTGCTTAACCCCTGTGCTGTGAGCTTCTGATCAACTACAAAGAGTCAAAAGATAACCACATGATCATAAATACATATTGTTATGGAGGCTCGTTACTTTGTAAGTTGTATGTGACTGACCAAGAAAGGCCACCAGTAATTCAAACTTACTCCTGATGCAAGAACAAACAGAAGAGGGAGGGAAGGGAATTGCTTGTGGGTAAGGACCTTAAGGACAGTTGATTGGCAGTGTATAGAGCTGGCATAAAAGGTATAAGAATCGTCCCAGGAATTGCTGTAAATAAATAGGAAAGGTGATCGACAGAAGAAGGCATTTTGAAGTGTCATAGGTTATGTGGGAGAGTTAGTGAGTCTCTTTTATACTCACCATTTGTATTGTTTTGTTTTGGCTGCTGATTATCCTGCTTTGTTTCAAAGCTTGTTCCACTTTTGTTTACTGCTGTGCTGTGTTGTGTACTTGTGTGTATTAGTACCAATTGCTAGTGCTGCTCAGGTTCACTGCATGATAATCTTTGCAGTTTATGCATGTGTTTACTTTGTGTGATACATAATATCAGATGCTTGTTGATTAATGCAGTATGTTGATAAGGAATTTGGAACTGGTGTCTTGAAGATAAGCCCAGGGCATGATCATAATGACTATCTACTAGCTAGAAAGATTGGTCTCCCGATACTTAATGTTATGAACAAGGATGGAACATTGAATGAAGTTGCTGGACTTTATTGGTAAGTTTCTGAGTATTAGTGCACTGTCAATGATCATGTCAATTATATTTATCTATATGATTATGAATGTTGCAGTGGGCTAGACCGTTTTGAGGCTAGGGAAAAACTTTGGAAAGATCTCACCGAGACAGGCTTAGCTGTAAAAAAGGAACCCCACACCTTAAGAGTTCCTAGATCGCAACGAGGTGGAGAAGTGCGTGTACTTGACCTGGGCACGAAGTGCTGTAATTAATTTAATATTTATCAAAACTTTGCATTTTCCTTTTCACATGTCACTCACACTATTTTCTTTCTTTTAAAAAATTGGCAAAGCAGATAATTGAGCCACTTGTAAGCAAGCAGTGGTTTGTAACTATGGAGGCCTTGGCTGAGAAAGCCCTTCATTCCGTTGAGACAGGAGACCTGACCATTATTCCTGATAGGTTTGAGAAGGTAAGTCATCAATAATGTTTTGAGATAGACCTAATTAATCACTTTATTCCTGTTTGATAATTCTTAGCTTTGTTCATTATTTGTAGATGTGTATGCATAAGGATTGATAAGATGGGTGCAAGCCCTTAGTGAATTTGTATATTTGATTAAAGATGAAACCTGTACATGATTGTAGTGAATGCTTTGATAGGAAACAAAGAGGAATTCTTATATATTTTTCCTTACTTCATAATGTTCACAGCATACTTCACTTTGTTTGAGAATGATGTATATTTGGTCCTAAACTTCTCAGATGCTTGGTCATTAGCTACATATACATACCCTAATTATTTTATGTAGATTGTTAACCGTTAAATGTGATTGATAAAAATAGCCAAAAAATTGCTCCCTCCGTTCCACAATGATATTCTTGTTTGGAATCTTTGACTTTTTTAAGAAAGAGAGAATCTTCTAAATTTCTCTTAATCTATAAGAGTAAATAGTCATGTGGGATCTAGTTTGATTCGTCTTGATGAGTAGATTATTAATATCTAACTTTTATAATTTTTACTAGTGTGATATTAAAGATATTTGCGGTCAAAGTCGGGTAAAAATTTGCATCGATTTACGAAACAGGAACATCATTTTGAAACAGAAGGAGTAAATTTTATAACTTTTGGACAAGTGTGTGACTCTGTGTCTTGGGCAGGGGACTTATGACAATTCATGTTAGCAAACACCAAATCAAGTTGGGACAAAGGCTTTGTGGTTGTTGTTGGTTGGGGGGTGGGTGGGGATTGTTGGGTCTAATTACTAGATTTGTAGGGGGAGAGTGCATGGTGACACCTATGAGCTTGTATGAAGATACATGAGAATTAATGTTAAAAAAATGAGCAACACCCAGGGGCTGGTGGAAGCCCGCCCCCCCGTGACCCAACAGGTGATATGTGTATTTTGTGGTCTGGTCCCATAAGAAACTAATAAATAGTACATATTTAGCTAATACAACAGGTTGCCAATGGTAGCTAAGTTGGTAGTTTGAGTTTTGCATGGGGAAAGAGGTCTCAAGATCGACTCCCCACTTTAGTGCTTTTGTTTTGGTTTTTTTTTTTTTTTTTTTTTTTTTACTTCATCGAGTCTTGGCCCCTTTAGATTTTTATTCCTGACTTCGCCCCTGGCAACACCCACATGACATGCATGGACTAGTGATGTCCAGTCTGAGTAGGGGGTTTGGAAGTGGAAAAGATGGGTTTTTTTTTATTTTTTTTATTTTTATTTTTTATTTCCCCCAAAAAAGTAAACTTGTGATGGCTGCTATTAATAGAAGTTTTCAAGTTAGGCTTTGCAAAGGCGCTTAGGTTGTAGTGGTTTTGGTGATATGTCATATTTGCTGATGGCGTCTAGTGTGGCTGGGGTGGGGTGGGGGTTGGAACTAATAAAAATGGTTTTTCCCAATAGAAATTAGTTACTTACGATGGCTATTACTAATAATATTTTGATTTGTTGAAGTGACCATGTCATTTTAGATGACCACTTGCTTTAATCATGATTTAATTTAAGGCAGCCTAGGGAGGTAAGCTAGAGATGATATGTCATATTGTCATGTACTTACTATTGGTTTTGTTGTCGCCTATGATTGACTAGGAAAGTTTGCCCTAGGCTCTTGTACAATGATGCTATGACGGATAGGTTTGGAAGAAATAATGGCCATTTGCGTTTTCTATCTCTTGCTTATAGACATGTGGTGAAAATCCATGGATTTTTTATTCAGATTTTGGGTAAACAAGTGCCTCTCTTATTGGAAAGTTCATGACTATTTCTCTATGTAAGAAAAATGTGGGGATGGCATCAATTACTTTTGTTTATCTGATATTAGTAAAACATGATATTCTATGTTAAGACAAGGATTTTGATACGGAATATCACAAATTACAGCCACTTACCATGTTAGTATAGTATTGTGATGTAAGAATATTGAAAAAAATAAGAGACTGTTAAGGTGATTATAGAGACTAATGGGTTGAAGAGGGTTTATGTTGATTGATATGATGGATTTGAATGCAATTTACAATGGAAAATAGTATTAGGGAAAGTGAATTAGATATTGGTATAAGGTAGTAGGTCAAGAATTGAAAATTGAACGCGAAGGAGGTCTGGATTTTGGAAATCAAAAGGGAGGAGTGTTGTGATAAGTGTGATGATTGATAACTTGTGATCCAAATGCCATTGTCAGGGAGAGCGTTTCTTCCATGCAGGGGTCCACAGTGATGACAACAATTAGAGATATGTGTTGGATGGCATTGAGTGGAGGGCCTGTTGGCTTAATTTTTGCTGCTTATATTTCTTAGAGAAAGCATTTATATGTAGTGAAATTTGCAATATTGAAACTGATAAGGAGTGTATTGTTAGGACCAAGGGCTGTGGCTACAAAATGTGCAATATGTAATAAACTAACCAAAGGAGATTCTGGTATTACTTTGTTAATAGCTTTAGCTTTTTTAAAAGTTGAAAGAGGGGAAAGGAAGAGGCAGGCAGATTTTGAAGTGAAACCTATTTAGATTTGTGACCTCTTGAGAGTGGTGTCAGTCACTAATTTCAGTCACTTTTGGCAGCTTAAAGTTGATAGTTTGTACAAACCCCCTTTTCAATATTTTCAATCAAAGATTCGATCTTTTCTCTATGTTGTCTGTGTTAATTGTGTGTGTGAGTCTAACAAGCTTGAGTCCATTACGTAATAGTGCGGATTTAATAGACATGAAATAACAATTAAAAAAACAAGATAGATTTTTACGTGGAAAATCTTCTCTTTGCCTAAGAGAAGCTTAAACCATGAACTTTGCACCAGGATTTTAATCAATGTATGAGATGATGATAGTTAACTCTAAGATCTCTTAATAGTACAAATTCCCTCACTTAGGGTTCTCTAACCTAAAAATTATGATTTTAAATAATGTAATAGGATATTTGTAGTAGAGTACAAATTCTCTCCTAACCATGGAATTAAAACTCGGACGTTTTGTTATGTAACAACTGTTTGGTAACAGATTTTGGATATGCCGTTCTGCAAAAACCCATTACATAAAGCCGAATTTGTCCGTTACGTAACGGGGACTTGATGCGTTTTCCTTTATTACCACAACATCCATTATATTCTACTCCCTATGTTTTTTCAAGTGGCCCACTTCTCAAAAACAGCTATTTTTTTTTTAAGTGTCCCATTACCAAAAGTAGAAATTCCACTAACATAATATATTATTTCTCTCTCTTCCTATTAACCCCACTATCATTTTATAATATTTTCTCCCTCTCACATTATTCCTAGTGGTCCCCATTCATATTCTCTTTCTAACTTTTCCAAAAAAAAAATTCCTAACCATACCCACTCATATGAATAGTTTTTTAGTCATAAAAAGAAAAAAAAAATGTAAACAAGTCTTAACACGATAATGTGAGTTTTTGGAAAAACGTTTTAGAATGTGTTAGCCACGATCCGTTCTATTCATCCATCACAAGCTGTTTCCTCGACAATGCGAGCGTTAACATGATCACGGCTGCATTCACAATTTTCATATATGCTACTAATCCTAATCGACTAAGCACATTTTCTTTGAGAAATACACAACCGTGTATAGTACACTACACGGTCGTGTACCTTAAACATTGTACTATCAATCCCCATGGTCGTTTCTTTCTTTGTATACCCCTCCAAGTAGAACCATCTCCAAAAACCAAACATGTAGTCATGTAAAAGGCCCTGGTCTATCAAGAACGTGGGTATCGAGAATACAATAATGGAGGGTAAATTAGTGGTTAATAAGAGTGTGAAGTCAACTTTGTTTTCCTAATAGAGTGGTATGTGCATATACATACTCCCTTCTATGGTGTGTGGAATATGCGACCTTTCTGTTTTTTTCTTTCTTTAACAAGAATGGTTGTTCTTATGCAAAATTTGTTTTACGTTTATAGATCTATAATCACTGGCTATCCAATATCAAGGATTGGTGTATAAGTAGACAATTGTGGTGGGGCCATCGTATACCAGTCTGGTATATTGTGGGAAGAGATTGTGAAGAAGAATATATAGTTGCCAGGAGTCCGGATGAAGCACTTCAGAAGGCTCAGCAGAAGTACGGGAAGGATGCAGAAATATATCAGGACCCAGATGTTTTAGATACTTGGTTTTCAAGGTTAGCTATTATTGTTGTATACTTGTCATTTAGAATATCAGTTGTATGCATTATTTCAAAATCTTTGAGGCAAAAGTTTATTGTTAAACTAAGAAGACTACTATGTTCTACATTGAGATTCAGTGAGAACTGAGGAGTCTTGAAAAAGGTTTTTGTTCCTCTCAAGGCAACACTCATAGGATAACCACATATGTAGAATGATAAGGGGCTTCACATAGGACAAGTAGTTTTTTCAAAATCTTTGAGATTTAAGTTTAATATGAGGCCAAGAAGACTGCTATCCTATAATGAGATTCAGATTGTTTATTCATATTTACACAACACCACAAGGCCACAAGATTTGTTTGTTCAAAGTGGCAATGGGTTTTCCTCTCTTCACGGGGGAGCAGAACTAGAAAATAAGTCCTTGAAAGCTTCTGATTATATTGCAAGAATTTGTTACTACAGGACTTGCACAATACAATCAATTACTGAGATATATTGGTCGTAGAAAATGATGTCATCTACACACTAACTGTTCCCATATTGCAGGAGAAAATTTGACGGTCATTTACTCACTTGTGTATGACAGAAATTATTGACCTTATCTCATTTCTTATTGTCATTTTCTTTCATGGAATAATGGCACAAACTTTTATTCCATTTGTGAACACTAAAATATCTGTAAGCTTCTGATGATGTTTTGCTTATACATTTTTCTCCAGCTCCTTGTGGCCCTTCAGCACACTGGGATGGCCTGATGTATCAGATGAGGATTTTAAAAAATTCTATCCAACAACAATGCTTGAAACAGGGTAATTAAGAGCAATACTCTTCTCTCTGACTGCCACACCTGTTTGTTGTCTACGGTTGCATTAACTATGAGAATGTAACTTCAGTATGGAAAACCTGATAGTTGTAACTTGCTGCCTCTGTGAGGAAGAGTAGGGAGACTAGGGACAGCTGTAGACCACATCTTTCTTTTCAGCTACATGTAGTTTCTGTATGGAATCTATTTTCCCTTGAGTTTTGGTTTTCATTTTTGTATCGAAGTTGTTTGGGAAAATGGATAAGATAACTGAAGAAGTGGATTGGTGTAGTATGGAAGTGGGTTCCATAGTCCACATAGAAAAAGGAACTGAGTAATTTGCTAAACATCGGGTTATTGCTTGCTCACATGAAGATTTAACTTATAATATTTAGTGCTTTAATATAGCTTGCATCAAGCAGTGCAGGTAGAGTATTTCTTGACTATGTTGATAAATGTTTGATGATTCTGATGCTTGCCACCCCTTTGTACAGGCATGATATACTGTTCTTTTGGGTAGCAAGAATGGTTATGATGGGAATAGAGTTTACAGGAAATGTACCTTTTCGTTATGTATACCTGCATGGCCTCATTCGAGACTCTCAAGTGAGTAGCTTCCTAACTTATGAATCTGATTTGCATTTTTTATGGGAAGGTTACACACAAAGGCATATGTTTGGAATCTGAAATCATGGGAATTTGCAGTTGCAAGGTGAATCCCAACCTATTCATCTGAACATTCAGATGTTGAAAATTTAAAATGTTTTGGACCTATATTCTTTACTCTTGTCACTTATGCTGCTTTACAAAAGATTCAGGCACAAAAAATCAACATATAATAGTGAACATCAAGAACAATTATTAGTCATTTCCTATCATTATTCATCTTTCAGTGCCAAGTTTGGTGGAGGAGGGGGCGCGGAGTAGAAAGTGAGTTGTGGTAATTTACAATTTAAACCTAATATGACAGAAGGCAAGAAAGTTCTTGGAAAATATAATTACTAATTGAAAAAAAAAAAAAAAAACTGAAGGACCTGTCGATTGGGCTTTCCAGGGACTTGCGCATATAACAAATTTGAGGAGCTTAATTATGGTGTTTTGTAACTTAATTATGCCCTATGCCTGATTGGATTTCCATATCGGGACTCCTCTTGTCCAACCTGATATTATGGAGTCAGATCAGATTATTCCGTTGCCAAGTCCCCTTCCGTGTACTGATTTCCTGCCAACTTTATCTTCCAACTAATAAAAGTGTTTAGTAAAAAATAATTGTTTTGCTAAAACTTCAAAAAGGGTAATACAGAAGGACAGGTTACCTTACAGAGTTTGAGCCTCCCATATTAAATAGAACATCCTTGAGTTGAGTATGAGTAAAAGTTAGATGATAGAATAACTAGAGATATACTTGCTTCTTAATTAGATGCGAAAGTCTGAAAAGGTTGTTGTATTACTATATCTTTAAACTCGTAGTTTCTAACTTTATTTTATTCTTCTATTAATTTTTATTTTGTGTTTTAGGGAAGAAAGATGTCCAAAACACTGGGAAATGTAATTGATCCTGTTGACACAATCAAGGAGTTCGGAACTGATGCGTTACGATTTACACTTGCACTGGGAACTGCTGGTCAGGTCTGTTTAATGAAATTATAAAATCCTACACTATCATCTAATTGTTGGATTGTAGCTTCCATATCCTTATACCATCCTTTCTTTTTCCTAATCTCTTGTACTTCTGTTTCTCCTTTATAATTCTGATTTTTTTTTTTCGGTATCATTTTGAAATGGTTATTTCACTATGTACCAGTGTACCACTAAGGTTAGTTTGCTCAAGATTACCAATATTTGAATAAGTGCATTGTATACCTCAAAGGTTTGAAAAGATACTGCATAATAATACCCTTAATGATCAAACAGATGTCAACTTTCAGCAGCTAAACCCTCAAAATAGTGAGATCCTTAATTTAAAATGCTGCAAAATAATCAAAGCATTTTATGTACTATTTTGAATTAAAACCTCATTCATTAGGAGTTTTTAATAACAAAAGTTAATTTCTGTTTGGTCTATTGGGGTGTTATCCAGTAATATTTCATACCTTAGGGCTGCACGACTGCACAGTATATTTATATAATTTATAGAAACCTCGAGGGTACATGGTGATATAACCATTGATAAATCCTTTTCTTATGGTTTACAATATTATTCATATCTAATCAAAATATCATGTGAGTAAGACTTATTATAACTTTTTATAAGACCTGGGTACCTTTTCTATTTTCGAGATAATCTTTTGCTTTTGAGGTGTAACTTTTTAATGCTGCACAATAACTTACTGCATGTCCACGTGCGGCTTCTATACCACTAAAATGTGAACGCAATGCATGCCCTCCTTAATTTTCTTAGATGGGGAGCACTGGTGAGATGCCAACTTGAATTGAGCAGGGAGTAGAGTACTGAGAGGTTTGTAAACCTTGTAAGTAATCTCGTGATATCTTTCTATTGAGATATACTAAAGGTCCTTTCTTATACCAAACTGCTCATTTGGCCTCTAAGATATCCCATTTAATCTCCCTATCGATGTTGCCTCTTAATACTGCTATGATGTCTTCGTAGGACAAAAATGTATTGAAATTCCCCTGATGGCACGCAGTGGCTCCAGATGACTTATATTACTGTGTTATAGAATTGATTTTCTGGTTTTATATTTGATAAATAAGAGGAAATTTTGAGATGAAAGCTTGGAAATTTGACTGATAATGGCAAAAGAAGTTGCAAAATGATAAAGTTAATAGCTTGAGGCTTACTCTCTTGATAACTTTAGGTTATCACTCTCTCTTAGTAACTTGAGGTTACCATTCTCTCTCATTCCGCATTACAAATATCATGTCTTTCTACTGCTATGCTACTACTTCTCTTTTATAATCAAGCAAAACTACAAAGATAACCTAATGTTAATATTGTTTGTCCTTTACTGCTCAAGAGATCAGAATTCAGTCCTATGTTGCCGCACTCCCTAGCGCTTCTTTAATTACTTTTGTCTCTTAGTGTTGCTCCTTGTACCGGGTTCATTACGTAAGATATAAACTATTGAGCTTTGTTGCATCTTTTTAGAATTCATATAACCTTTTGAACTAATGCATTCTGATTTATTGGCCTTTTCTTTGTAATGATGTATGCTGAAGCCAGTCTTTCTATTTTCTCGTGTTCATTCTCATACATCTACTGGTGAATAATGGGTTAGAAACTTGGAACTCTTATGATAATTATGGAGCCAAAAAAAAAGTTTTTTATGAACTGTACTATGAAAAGAGGACATTGTGCTAAAAAAGTAAAAACTTTTTGTTTAATATAGTGTTTGTTTAGGTATCTTATGAGCTACTATACATATATACCTTGATGCCAGATAACCATTGGTGAACGTCATTGTATGGTGCCTTTTAAATAAAATTTATTGGTTGATTGTTTACCGTCATTAGCAGGGGTTCTTCATCAGAGTTTTCTTATATTATATATCGAATGTGTATACGTGTAAGCAGCCATGTTTGTTAAGCACTTTCTGTCATTCTTGGAAGATTAACTTATTTGTCTCTCTGGAAAAACCTGGGTGAGTTTTTATAATTTCATATTGGATGATCTAGAAAGCTCATATTCTTAGTATTAGTGGATTAATTTGTTCTCTTTTGTGAGATGGCAATAATTAACTGATTACTTGTTGTTTGGTTCTGTAAAGGCTTCTTAAATGATCTAACAAATGTTAATACTGCCTCTTTGTTTTCAAACCAGGATCTCAATTTGTCAACAGAAAGATTGACTGCAAATAAGGCTTTCACGAATAAATTGTGGAATGCTGGGAAGTTTGTGCTACAAAACCTGCCTAATCAAAGTGATAGTTTGGCATGGGAAACTTTACGTGCATTTGAGGTTGGTATATTTCCATTTTTTTTTTAAATGGCTAATATATTCTTAACTAAGCACCACAGCTTTCCTCTCTCATTTATACTTGTTGATTTCTGTTTCTCTCTCTGGTAATGTTTGAGTTCATATGATTGTTGTGTCAAGAAAGCTTCAATTTGCATATTGCTTCAGTTTGTTGCAGTGAAAATGACAGTTTTTTTACGTGACATGTTAAAACCAAAACCAAATAAACAAGTTTAATTTGCATATCCTAGTGTTTTTGCTTGTTGCATGTCCATTTTTATCAAGCTGAACCACAGGTTCCAATGATTGATTTGTCTCTAGAGATGCAGATACGTAGCATAGCATATGAACATATATCTAAGAATTTAAGCGTTAATTCTAGAGACCTTAAGGAATAAAGTGAATCTGTAGTAGTTGCTATTTCCTGGATACTCTTGGTCTACTCTCAACTGTCTTTGTATATCTGCTTATTCTATCGAAAAAAGTAAAGAATACCCCCTCCGTTCAGTTTTAATTGCAACATGTTGATTTTCACGTTTGCCAATGCATAACTATAACCGTCAATATCTTTAACTATCAAGTAAAAATTATGTAAATATCTAAGAATTTAAGAGTTATTTCTAGAGACCTTAAGGAATAAAGGGAATCTGTAGTAGTTGCTGTTTCCTGGAGGATATCTGTTCTCTTGGTTTACTCTCTACTGTCTTTGTATATCTGCTTATCGAAAAAAGTAAAGAATACCCCCTTCGTTCAGTTTTAATTGCAACATGTTGACTTTCACGTTTGCCAATGCATAACTATAACTGTCAATATCTTTAACTTTCAAGTAAAAATTATGTAAAGCTAATCTTTTGAAAATATACTTTGAGATGAATCTAAGATCCCAATTGACTACATTTTGCCTCAAATACCAAACACTAAGATGGTCAAATGAAAATTGTGATTAGTAGCAAATGTCAATACATTGCAAATAATACAATGTAATAATTGAGTTGTGAGCATGAATTCGTTAGGAGGTATCTTTAATAGTCTTTTTCCTATAAACAAATAGTAATCTTTCTCATTGGTAGCATCTTTATGTTGTAGGATGGTAAGAGAACAAGAGTTATGAATTATATGGTTAGAAATTTAATTGTGCCTCTTTTAGGTTACTAGTATGCCACCTTTAATGATATGATTTTAGTAATATGATTGAATATATGCTTATGGTTTTCCAAGAACCAAAAAGTGTTTTGAGTTTGTTTCTGATCTTTTAAGGAGTGGTTGGTTGGTGTTTGAAAATTTAAAGTGTAGTGATGAATGTGGAGAAGGTTTTGAGAAGCTAAATAATAATTCATTTTGGTAAATAAGAGGGATAGAAGTTTAATGAAGTTTCAAATCATAAGGGTGGTAATTTTCTTCTAGTGGCCTAATTTTTCTGAACAGAAAATGGAACCAAATCAAGAGGGACTCAGCCTAGCTCAAGATTCTTGCAGTCATATGGCTGTATTCTTAAAAGATGACTTGTATATTGTAAATTATGATACCCTTTTATGTCACTTTAGTTTTCATTGAAATATACTACAAAAGGAAGTATGATCATGTTACTCTTTTAAGTGCTTTTTGCTTTTCATGTTGGAAGGTATATAATTTGGACAGTTCTGTTATGAATACTATAAGAAAATGTTTCCAACTCATTCCAATATAGTCTAGATAGTTACTCGTTCTTGGTCACATGAGTCACAACTTACCTAGTACTAGAGTGAAGCTTTTTTAGGAAGTCATGGATAACAACACTGCTTACATTGTTTCTACGATTGTTAAATTTTAGGATTGAATATTAATTGTAATTAAAATGGCATGTGGCGCACTTGATTACTTCACTTTCAATTGTGATTAAGAGCAGGGTATTTTAAAATTTACTTTAAATTATCAACCTAAGTAAATACTTATGAGTTTTTCTTTTCTCTTTGACCTTTTGCTAGCATCTTCTATCAATTTCATTTTCTTCTCTCTTTGTCCTGTTGGCTTTCCATCTGTTTGTGGTTCTACATACGTGATTCTACGTATCTATTATTTTTTGAAATTAACATTTTCCATAATTTAAAGAGAACATTAGCACGTTGCTGATTATTTCTGGTTTCCATTTTCTACTTTTAATTTAATTTTTACAGTTCGATAAAGAAGAGTCATTGCTGATGTTGCGATTGCCAGAGTGCTGGGTGGTGAGAATTATTTAGGTTGTGCTTATGTTTATTGAATGCTATACTCCTATATTATATTGAATTCATCTTCAATCAACAGGTATCAAAACTACACATGCTGATTGACCAAGTGACTACAAGTTATGACAAATTTTACTTTGGAGATGTTGCAAGAGAAACTTATGATTTCTTTTGGGGAGATTTTGCTGATTGGTATGCATTTCTAAGTTCTAATAATCTGTCCTCAAATTCTGCTTCAATCATAGTTACAACAAAAAGTGAGCAATATAACTAATTAAATATATGAATATTATTTTCTTGATACTACAGTAATAGGTTATAGTACATATCTTGTAAATTGTGATATACTTCCTCCATTTCTTTTTAAATTCATTACTTTTTAAATAAGAAAGTTTCAAATTAGATGCTTCATTTCCTTTTTAGTTAATAAATTTACTCTTATCTCTCTCATATCACATGGGTCCTCATTTTTCTCTCTCTCTCTCTCATTTCCAAAATTTGCCTAGGAATCTGTGTTTATGCAAATGATGCAATAAAAAGATTGGAGGAAGTATTATATTTTGTAAAGATCATCCGTTATTACAGATCATGTACCTAAGTAACAGATTACAATAATATCAAGAAGATATTAACACATATTCAATACAATCAGACCTTTCATTAGGCAATGCGTAGGAACCTGAAAGAATGGATATATGTCACTTTGTAACTAATAATTAATCCTATTTCACTGTTCGTAGTTGGTTTCAAGGTAAAGAGAGGATTGAGGGTACTGTTTCGTGGATTATATGAATTTGCTTGTATAATGATGTCAGTGATTGGCTATCACATGCTATGTATCTTCATTGATATTCATTACAGATTACTCAATTTCCTCCATCCTTTTGCCTATTCTATCAATGAAATTCTTCTCAATCAAAACTAAACTGCCCAAACTGTATTCTGCATTAGATTCTAATCTTACTGAAGTGAGTGTATGAACAAACAATGTTAACCTTATGAATATTTCTTTGTTTGACTTATTCAAATGAAATTCATGCGTATAATAGGTACATTGAAGCTAGCAAAGCTCGCCTCTACCAAGCAGGGGATAACTCTGTGTCCTATGCAGCAAAAGCAGTACTTCTGTATGTCTTTGAAAACATATTGAAAATTCTGCATCCGTTTATGCCATTTGTTACCGAGGCTCTTTGGCAGGTATGATGAGTGAACTTCATTAATAGTGGTCCTGCAGTACTGCATTTGTCTGGATAACTATAGTGACATTATTTTGGCTGAGCAGATTTAGATGCTGTGCCTAACTGTCACATGAAATCACCGAACAGTTATGTTATTCTGGTTTATTAGCTCTTCGGTTAGAAGCCTCTTGTTAATAAATTTCACAACTTTATGGTGTTATTCTAGAGGCCTTTACTTTTTTGTTAATTAGATTAGGTTTCAGATGTGTGGGTGCAATGTCTGATTCAATATTCATAATTACTGTCGTTAGAACAGTAAATCTCTTGGAAGATAACCTGTCAGTAGTCTCCTTTAATATGCATTTGAGGAATAGGGACAGTTTAAAAATATCTAGTACATCCTGCCATCTTATCCTGCAATAAAATTGGATAATTTATTCCTGTCAAGCTGTTGCTTTAGATTCTACAGTGGCATGTTTTATTCTGTAACTATGAGACATGCCTTTTGCCTGTGATGTTTGTATGAATGAATTTTCCAAAGGAACTTGCTAGAATTTAGTAAGAAAACAGAGAGAATATCAAGCAAAGAAAGAAGAGAATTTAGCAGCCAAGATATTTGTATTGCAATCAGTGTAATTGCAACACAATAGCCTTCATTCGAGAGGGAGGAACTCTCCCAACAAGCAACCACAATAATATTCTGAATATCCTTCCCTCCCCCTATTAGCAATATTTATAATCATAATTAGCCTAACAAACTCAATTATTACAGCTAATGTAAGGAATCAAAATAACAAACTATTTCTTGAATTACTATCATGCCCTTGATCCAAAACTTAAATCATAACCAACTGTTGTCCAGCTCAGCCTCCAGCATTTGCTAGAGTTTTCTTGAACCCTTTCCTTGCATATGTGAAACGGACCTCAGGTCGGGGTTGATCTCTTGCAATACCCCCCACCCAAAGTTTCACCTTGTCCTCAAGGTGGAAACAAGGAAACCTCGAGTTGACTTCATCAAAGAACTCCCATGTGGCCTCAAAATCTTGTAACCCCTTCCACTGTATCAAAACTTCCATGGTAGTCTGAGAGTTTTGCACCCCCAGCACAGCCTCAGGTTCTACCTCCAGAGTCAAATCAGCTCAGCAGACAAATGCACAGGGAGTTGGGTTGGGGTATGAGTGACTCCAATAGCCTTCTTCAACTGTGAAATATGGAAAACAGGATGGATTTTGGCATAGGGAGGAAGCTGCAACTTATAAGCCACATTACCTATGCGTTGAATGACAGGGTAACGCCCATAAAATCTTGGAGAGAGTTTGTCATTGGACCTCCTCACCAAAGACTTCTGCCTGTAAGGCTGTAATTTCAGGTAGACCAGGTCACCAACCTGAAATGTACCCTCAAGCCTTCCCTGATTCTCATAGTGCCTCATATACACTTGTGCTTGCACCAAGTGGTACTTCAAGTCATCTAACATGGCATCCCTCTCACTCAACTGTTCTTCCACAGAAGAAACAGTAGTACTGCCAGCTGAAAAGCGAACCAGATGTGGTGGATCACGACCATAGAGAGCCTTGAAAGGGGTGCAATTGGTGGCGGAGTGAAAAGAAGTATTATACCTATACTCAGCCCAAGGAAGCCAACGAGCCCAGCTATGAGGCTTTCCATTCACAAAGCACCTTAAGTAAGCCTCGACACCTTTATTTACCACCTCGGTCCGACCATCCGTTTGAGGGTGGTAGGCCGTACTACGCATGAGATGAGTTCCTTGGAGGCGAAATAACTCTTTCCAGAAAATGCTAAGGAAGACTTTGTCCCTATCCGAGACAATAGAACAAGGTATGCCATGGAGCTTGACCACCTCTGTGACAAAAGTGTGGGCCACACTCTGAGCGGAGTAGGGGTGTTTAAGGGGAATGAAATGCCCGTACTTAGTCAACCTGTCCACGACCACAAGTATGGTATCCCACCCCGAAGACTTGGGTAATTCTTCTACAAAATCCATAGATATGTCCTCCCACACCCTTTCCGGAATGGGTAAAGGCTGTAGGAGAACCAAGCGTGAAAGAGTTGAGGTTTTGTTTTGCTGGCAAACATGGCAGTGCTGCACATATTGCTGAACATCCTTTCTCATACCAAACCAGAACCATTCCCCTGCTAAACGTTGGTATGTTTTGAAATCTCCCGCATGCCCTCCAACCACCGAATCATGATACTCCTTGAGCAATTTGCGCGTGAGTTCACTGTGCTTGGGGATCACTATCCTCCCCTTGTATTTCAGCACCCCATTATTCAGGCAAAACCATTTAGGAACCGAATCACCTGCCTGAATTTGTGATATCAGCCCTCTGGAGGACAGCATCATTCTTAATGAAAGATAAGACATAATCCCAGCGAATGCCGCAAGAAGTGACCATAGTACAACACTCCACATTAGGAGAAAATTGATGAGACAAGGCGTCAGCAACTTTATTCATGGGTCCGGGTTTATAATGAATGTAAACGTATAGCCAAGTGGCTTGCTCACCCACTTTTGATAAGCCTGCCCAATTTCCCGCTGTTCAAGGAGGTACTTGAGGCTCTTTTGGTCCGTCCTCACAAGGAAGTGACGGCCAAGTAGTGCCTCCATTTCTCAATGGCGAAGACAATAGCGATTAATTCTTTCTCATAAATTGGCTTGCCCCGATTCCTTACTCCCAAGATTTTGCTATAATAAGCAATGGGGTGTTCAGCCTAAAGTAACACTGCCCACAGACCATGCCCCGAGGCATCAGTCTCCACAATGAAAGGAAGAGAGAAATTAGGTGGTGCCAAAATTGGTGCATTGACCATGGCACCTTTAAGAGAGTTAAAGGCCTGTGTAGCAGCCTCAGTCCAATCAAACTTATCCTTGCATAGCTAGTCCGTAAGTGGTTGAGCAATGAGAGCATATCCTTGGATAAATTTTCAATAGTAGCCTGTGAGGCCAAGGAAGCCCCGCAACTCTCTCAAAGTCGAGGGAGGAGGCCAATCAACCATAGCTTGCACTTTCGCAGCATCCACTTCCACCCCTGCTGCAGAGATCACATGGCCGAGGTAAGCTACTCAGGACTTCCCTATTTCGCATTTTTTGGAATTGGCATACAATGCATGTTCTGCCAGAACCTCCAGCACTTGTTTCAAGTGAATTAAATGAGTGGTTTCACAGGGGCTATAGACAAGAATGTCATCGAAGAAGACAAGAACAAACTTGCGAAGAAACGGCCTGAAAACCTCATTCATAAGTGACTGAAATGTCGCTGGAGCATTGTCAGCCCGAAGGGCATGACCAAGAATTCATAGTGACCCTCGTGAGTGCGAAAGGCCGTCTTATGCACGTCTTCCTTGACTCTAATCTGGTGATACCCAGATTTTAGATCGAATTTGGAAAAGATAGCTGCCCCGTCCAACTCATCCAATAATTCATCAATTATTGGAATTGGAAACTTGTCCAGAGTAGTTTCCTTGTTAAGAGCCCTGTAATCGACACAGAAACGCCAGGAGCCATCTTTCTTTTTGACCAACAACACCGGACTCGAGTATGCTCTTGAAGAGGGTTGGATAATTCCTGCAGCCAACATGTCAGCTACTAATTTCTCCATCTCATCCTTCGGAGGTTATCTGTAAGGCCTAACACTAATCGGGTTAGAGCCGCTACGAAGCACAATAGAGTGTTCAATTTGGCGTTGCGGGGGCAACCCTGGTGGCATATTGAAAACTTGTTGAAAATCGTGCAATAAGGGCTGATACACTGCTGGAACAGGTGGTGCTTCTTCCTCCTCCACACTGCTAATATGATTGAGTTCGAGCAAATAGCCTTTCCCCTCTTTCTGAAGAGTTTTGAGCATTGCCTTCAATGAAATGCCGGTCCGACCCAACTGAGGATTACCCCGTAGTGTGACAGTCTCGCCATTCAATTGAAACTTAAGTGTCTAGGTCTTCCAATTGGTGGTAGTGTTCCCAAGCTTTTCCAACCATTGAATCCCCAAAATGACATCAGAGTTTCCTTAGGGTAAAAGGAGAAAATCTTCCACAATTGTGACCCCTTGAAGGTCCAATAAAACACCCTTACATTCCCCTTCCCCTTGCACTGCTTCTCCTGTTCCAAGCGTCACACCGAAGCTCTTAGTGGTAGATGGCTGAACTTGTAAGTGCTGGCAGCAACCGAGGACAAAAAGTTATGCGTGGCCCCCGGGTCAATCGTGACCACCATAGGGCGGCCGTTGATCGCACCAGCCAACCCCATAGTCTTAGGCCCGGTTAGTCCCATCACTGAGCTCAGGGGTACTCCGGCCTGGTGGTGTAGGGCGAATTGCGGCAAGGGTGTGGGTTGTGGCAAGGGAGTGGGGACAGGAGGCTGCTCGGGAGTGACAGGTTGAGTTTCGACCATGGAAAACTCACCTGAATCGTCCCGGTCATCGTCATCCACCGTGAGAAGCATGCTAAGCCCCCGCCGCTGGCATCGGTGATTGATGGTCCACTTTTCATCGCAGCGGAAACACAACCTGAGTTCCCATTTCTGCTGCAACTCTTTTTCCGATAACCGGTGAAGTTCGCTAGTTGGTTTGGTGGCAGATCTGTTGGTAAAAGGGTGGATTGAGGTGTTTTGGTTTGTGTTTTGGTTTGTGTTTGGGCTAGGTCGAAGGTTTGGGTAAGGTGTTCTCCAGGTGGGTAGGTTCGAAGAGTTGGATCTGGGCTTTGGGCTTAATTTTAATTTCTCCTCGACCCGCATCAAAAGATCCATAGCCAAATCCAGAGTGGGTGGGCTAAGGATCCGTACTTCGACCCGGATGTCCTCCTTAAGTCCATTAATATATTGCCCTTTGGCAATTTCCTCAGGCACTTCGTCAATAGGAGCTAAAAGCTCAATAAAACGGCGCCGGTAGTCCTCCACCAAGCCGGTTTGCTCGTGGGCCAACCACTGCTCGTGCAAGGACCTCGTCGCGGTGGTTCTGAAGCTGTGTAACAGCCGGTGCTCCCACGGGTACCACAGCAGGGCGCCACCACAGCGGCCTCTTGTTGATCCTCCTCCGACAGACGGTAAAAATGGAAAAATCGCTCTGCTCGGAGGATCCATCAATCTGGGTTCGTACCGTCGAATATGGGTAAATCAAGCTTCCGCAATTTCCAATTCGATTGATCACCTTGAAATCCACAATCACCATAATCGGGGTGGTGTTGCGAGGAGAAGGGGTTATCCCACTGATAACCATCAGTTTCTCGTGGTTGCGGACCACCAGACATAGTAGACCGCACCTCGGAACAGAGCTTCTCCTGACCTTCAGCCAACTGGTTGGTGACATCCGTTTTGAATGCCGCCCTAGCCGTGGAGATTTCTCGAGCAACACGAGCAGGGAGCCCAGAAATCTCCTGCTCCAGTAAGTCCAGTCTCTGACCATGATTTAGCCGTGCCATTGTCTTCTCCGGCAAGAATCGCCACTGCTCTGATACCAAATTTGCTAGAATTTAGTAAGAAAACAGAGAGAATATCAAGCAAAGAAAGAAGAGAATTTAGCAGCCTAGATATTTGTATTGCAATCAGTGTAATTACAACATAATAGCCTTCATTTGAGAGGAAGGAACTCTCCCGACAAGCAACCACAATAATTTTCTGAATATCCTTCCCTCCCCCTATTAGCAATATTATAATCATAATTAGCCTAACAAACTCAATTATTACAGCTAATGCAAGGAATCAAAATAACAAACTATTTCTTGAATTACTATCATGCCCTTGATCCAAAACTGAAATCATAACCAACTGTTGTCCAGCTCAGCCTCCAGCATTTGCTAGAGTATTCTTGAACCTTTTCCTTGCATATGTGAAACGGACCTCAGGTCAGGGCTGATCTCTTGCAGAACTATTCATCAAAAAATAATAACTAACAAAGAAATTAAATTAAAGTAGATAATATTTTCCTATTTTCCTATTCACCATCTTCAATTTCTCCTGGCTCCAGCCTTTAAGGATGACATGGAAACGTGCAAACTGGAAATAAGTTCTTTGACATGATAATGTAGTAGGAGACTTGGTTGGGGGTGAAAAGTATTGGTGTTAGGAGTAAGGACTATGGTATTAAGATGCTGGGTGTGAATTGCCTCACTATATTTATAAAATCCTCTCAGATTAGATATAATGATTTATTTTATTTTTTATTTTTTAATTGTTTATAAAGAACTATTTTTCCTCTGAAACAAACCTCAATTGCAGTAATAACATGCCTGAAACCTTTTGGGAGATAAATGTTGTTCAAGTGTTGAGTGAGCTCAAGTGCTTTAATATATCTGGTTAGCTTATGTTATATGTATTTGTGATCCCAAGCTTTTGTTCCATAAAAACAATGGTATTGTCACTAATTTTTTAGATACGTAAATTTAAGAAGCACAGGTCTGTTGGTGACATCGTTTATAATTTTCATCGTATGTGATGGGTTTTTTTTTTGGGATTCAAATTAGCACTTATGTATTAGATTGTTGCTTCTGTTAGGGTTTTGATGGTGTTTTATGCTTTATGTAGGCAATCCCCCATCAAAAAGAGCCTCTGATAGTATCTTCATGGCCAAAAACTTCGCTTCCAGCGTATTCAAATGTGATAAAAAGATTTGAGAACTTTCAAGCTTTGGTAAGTGAATTCATGGTGCACTAAAATCTTGTTTTTGATTTTTAATTTTTGTAAATGGATGTTTTTAATACAATTCCAGTCATGATGTATGCTAATGTAAGAATGACAGCAATTAGCTCTATCTGTTTCCAGACTAGGGCTATCCGTAATGTTAGAGCTGAATACTCGGTTGAGCCAGTGAAACGGATATCTGCAACTATAGTTGCCAACCCTGACGTTTTCCAGTACATCTCTGTAAGTATACAACTAATGTCTTCCAGCCTGTTTATGAATATTCTAATGATATGCTAATCGATGAGTATTTATGTGTGTATTTTTTAATCTTAATGTGACTCACATCAGTATCATCTAAGTATATTTTAAACACTGACGTGAACTAGTGTTATAATCCATATACTACAATTTCAAGTTAGGCTTTGGAAAGGCTCATGAAAAAAAAGGGTCAGTTCTCTCTTAAGTTTTTAGATAGGTATGTTATGCCTCATTTCATGTCAGTAATAACAGTCATCTTAAGTAGTTGTTCAGAGTAATTAATTATGTTATACAATACAGTCAAACTTTTCTTTATCACCTTGTTGTGTATGTTAAGGTGTGGGCCGTCCTCTGTGCATCGCACCATGTACCTTTGTGGTTATTCTTTTTGTTTACGAGCCAAAATAATAAACTAGTGCTCTATTCTGGACATTTGAGAAGAATCACATAGCTGAGATGACTAGGACTTAGTAAGGCTTTGTACGGAGTATTGTAGGAAGCATACGGTTTTTCTGATATGTGTGTGTGTGTGTGTGTGTGTGTGTGGGTGTGTGTGTGTGAGAGAGTTGGTGGCGGGCGGGCGAGGTATGCATCCTAGCGTTCCAGTTGGTGGTGGGCGGGCGAGGGGTGCCTGACTGCTTGCGTGTGTGTGTGTGTGTGGCAATACCTTGCTTTTTGTTTGGTCTCTTGAGGTTGTAATTAGTGGCATATCCTATTTCTCTAACTGTATGTTTAAAAAGAAATGCTAAATGTTATCATCTTTCATAACAGGAAGAGAGAGATGTTCTAGCTCTCCTATCCAAACTGGACCTGCAAGCCTTGCATTTTGCAGAATCACTTCCAGGTTTGTCATCATTACAGTTGAATATTGTTCATTAACCCTAAAAATGATGTCTACTCTATGAATACATATTAACACTTTCATCACCAGAAGATGCAAATCAATCAGTTCACATAGTTGCCAGTGAAGGTTTGGAAGCATATCTTCCTCTTGCCGATATGGTAGATATCTCTGCTGAATTGCAGCGGCTTCACAAGCGTCTTATTAAGATGGAAGGGGAGTATAAGGGCCTTAAAGCTCGCCTTGGTTCTCCGCAGGTAGGAGATGTTTTGGTCACTAACCTCTGTCTAGCTTTTGATCTTTCTTTCATAATTGTGTTATACTGTCTATAGTATGCCCATGTATCGGTGCAAAAGAGGCTAGAGACTGGAGCTGGTGATTTTATTTTGTTGACATTTCATATCCACTCACATCACACCCATATATCCAATCATTTCAAGCAAAAAAGCAACACTTGAATGGGTTAGGGTAGTACTTATATAGAAGAGACTGAGATAAAAGATATCTAGCTTATACGTAGTATGATCTAAGTTCTTTCTTCATCTTATTTACCACTCCATGGGCATTTATTAGCATTTGCCTTTCTTTTTTTTTTTTATTTTTTTTTTTTTTTTTAAAATTAACACAAATTCTTCCTGAGTCTTTCCGATTTTCTTTTCATACCCATAGTTTTTGGAGAAAGCTCCCGCAGAAATTGTCCAGGCATCTCAAGAAAAAGCTGAGGAAATGGAGGAGAAAATAAATCTGACCAAAAACCGAATAGCTTTTCTTGAATCTACAGTTTTGATGACAAACAGTTAAAGTGAGTGATACTAGCTGCTTCTTTTGCTTATTTGTCTTTATGTTGGATCCTGTAAATTGATATTTCAGCGTAATAACGGTGAATGGTCAGGCATCTCCAGGTTATTTGTCGGTGTTTTTGCTGTTAAGAGGATTGTAGTAGGCTGGTAGCATTCAAACTGAGAATCTTAGAAGACATTTTCTGTTGATGACTTGATGTTGCTGTTAAGAGGATTGTGGTAGGCAGGTAGCATTCAAGCTGAGAATCTTCTAAGACATTTTCTGTTGATTCAACGCAACACATCATGCAATTTTGACTCTCGTACATTCATGTATAGTGGTATTTAAATATAAATCTTGACTTTAGCCATTTTCATGGTACTCCTCTCTATTTAAGAGTCAAGGTACATCAATTTAGCTAAGTGAACAACTATGTTTAACAACTATATTACATAGTGATAGTTTAAACATTTTTTTGCCTTTTTTTTTTTTTTTTTTTTTTGTGTTGGCATTTATCTTACCCATGCGCTGCAGGAATTTGTTAAACAAAATATTTGATGGCAAATAACCAGTAATTACTTAAATGGTGATAGGACAACCTCTATTGATCACTAGTAGGAGTCATCAAGGCCATATATGCTTGTGAAGTTGTGGTAAGATAGCAAAGTTTGAGCACTACTAGAGTACTAGTCTACTTGGAGCCATTAGGGTCAAATATGGCGTTGTGAGTTTGTGTTAGCCAGGAGATAAATTGGCATAATCATATACTACCTTCGATTTTTTTTTAGTTGCAACTTTGGAATATTTTATATTTCTCAAATAATACCCCAAAGTTGCAACCAAAAAAAAAATCGGAGGTAGTATATACTAGCTTAGGTCTCGTGTCATGCACAATAAGTCTAATTATCCAACAAATAAAATTTTATAAAACATACCCATTAGCTATATAGAAATTATATTATCATAATCTATATTAAAAGGTTGTTTAAAAAGAATTTCATATACGAATCACTTTTATTGTTACTAGTTTTGTACCCGTGCGATGCCCGGGGTTTTTTTTTTTTTATTGAATTTTAAGATTATTTTTTAATCTATATGTCAAATTTTAAAACATATCATTGATACAAATTTAGTTAGGAAATTATGTGTTTTAATTTTGTGACAATTTAAACTATGTATTAGGCATGTAAGGACTAATAATAATAATATTGGTGAAAACATTTCTTAGCTTGTAACCTAAAATAATGACCCTGTCCGAAATGACTTGTGATCCGACCCGATTGTCGGGTAGGTTTACACACAGTAATAAAATTATTTTAGATTTTGAAGTATTATTATTTTAATTGATTAGAATATATTATAAATAATAGATGTGGTACATTTTGAACTAATTCCTTCGCTCCAAAAAAAATATTATGATACAAAAAATACAATTATATGATAATTTATGAGAGTTATAATGTAATTATTTTATGAATAAAATTATAATTCAATTTGTAAATATTGGTACTTTATCGAAAATAAAACTCTAAATTGACAATTTTATCTTAAATTCTATCCAAATTTGATTGAAAATAAAATTCTAAACAAACTTTTTTATCCTACAAATTGAATTCTGTATAACTCTATCCTACGTGGCGCGACACTTGGCGAAAAGTTAAAACGCCAAGTGTCGCTGTCTCGTTGCCTGGCTAAAAGTTTAGATTTAGTTATATGATTATTTTTAGCAAAATCTAATATTAATTAGTTTAAAAGATATTTAAATAAGAGTTGGAATAATATTTTACGTAAATGTTTATGTAAGAGAATTAAGAGCACCAAATAAATAGAAATATATTTATTATGAAGATATAAAATATTTGGAATATTATTGTTATATTTGTATTATATAAATGTATTCTTAAAAAATTGTCTAAAAAGAAAGGAGAAGTTTTGGAGGGAAAAAAAGCACCAGGATGTGACACGTGTCACTTTCGGTGTCAGTTTTAGTATTAAGTTACTGATTACTAGTTTTGTGCCCCATGCGATGGCCGCGTTGTTTTTTGAATTTTAAGATAAAATTTTAATTTATATGTCAAATTTTAAAATATATCATTGATATAAAATTAGTTAGGAATTGATGTGCTTTTGTAACGATTTGTTATCTAGAAGGCATGTAATGACTAATAATAATGTTGGTGGAAATGTTTGATTTAATACATTAAAAAAATTTAAAAAATTCAGCAAAAAAATTAAATAAAATAAATGTTCAAAGCACGTTGATTGGTTGACCCGAACCCAAAACTTTGGGCAAGGGTTGAACATTTATTGACTCGTAACCTAAAGTGAAACAATCCGAGATGACTCATGACCCGGCCCTAATTGATAAGTCTACATAGTAACAAAATTCTATTAGATTGTGAAATATATTATTTGTACCAATTAGTATATATTATAAATGGATGTTTTGAGCTTCAAACTACTTCTTTCGCTCAAAAAATTATTATGCTATAAAAAATAAAGTTATATGATAATTTTTTAGAATTATAATCTAATAATTTTTTTGAATAAATTATAATTCAATTTGTACATCTGAAATTTGGTATTTAATCGAAAATAAAGCTGTAAACTAGCAAATTTATCTTAAAATTTTATTCAAATAGAATTCTAAATTTTATTTTATGAAATCTATTTAAATCAATCAACGTGACGTGACACTTGGCGAAAAGTTAGAACGCCAAGTGTCGCTGCCTCGTGATCTGGCTAAAAGTTTAGCTTTATATATTAGTTATATTATTGATTTGTTCATTTATTTCCTCCGTTTCAAATTAATTGACACATTTTTCATTATGCGTGCCTGCATTATTTAATCGTAGATACCTAAAATCATCACTAAGTTAAAATTATAAAATTTTAGATATTTTGAAATACACGTGAGGAATCCAATAAGATTGGAGTGAAATATACTAAAAAGTCAAAACATATCGACTAATTTAAAAAAGGGGAAATATATAGGGGATGAATTTGGTAATAATAGAGTGATTTTAGGTTCATCACCTTGATAAACAAAGGGTAAACATGTAATCTCGAATAAGGATATTATTGTAATTTGGTATCTACCTGAGTCAACCTTATGAAAGTTGTGTTAAATGACGTTATCCCTTTGGACAGTTACTTCATTTTCTTCCTCACCCAACTTCATCTTCTTCCTTAGAAATCTTCTTCATTTCCTTTCTCAGCCACCTTTATCTTCTTCGTCACCTTCAATTCGCTTCAATGAAGTCTTCGCCAACACCGAAACCGACTCCACCACCACCATTTTTCGGCAACTTCACTGCTGAATTAAACGAAAAACCTAAGAAAAAACGGAGAAATAAGGTGACAATTGCATATAATTTTACGATAAAAGCTTGCATACGAACAACAAATAAAAACTACAATCCCAATTAGCACTTCGATGGAGAAATTTCATTGATCTTCTCTCTCTAGAATGTTCCCCTTTTGGTGTTAATTGGGTAAGATTCGGTTAACAAAGTTGCTTCATGCCTTATGGTAATTGACTGAGCTAACTTATAAGGTTAAGTTTTGAACTCGAGTCAATTACCAAGTGGACAACAAAGCAAAATACTGAAATTTTTAATGATAAAGTGCGACAATCAAGGCGACTTATTTACAATGTTGTCATTTAATTAACAACAAACGTACTATGAGAAACTTGGATTTTCTCATAAAATAATCCTTCCCTATGTAAGTACACCTTTTTATGTAAGAATCAATCTAATTCAGAAAATTAAATTAGATGTAAAGGTGGATATTTAGTTGACATAATGGTATAATTGTAAAATGTAAACATTGAACTTTTCTTACGTACTTGCTTAAAATGTACTCAACACTTTTTTAAGAACATATAAACAAGATCAAAGCTTCAAATTTCACTCAATTTCTCTCTCCAAAATTCCCCCATTCGCTCAATCTTCCTCCGGTTTTTCTTTCATAAGTTTCTCCAAAAAATTTCTCCCAAATAAATCTCCAATTGTTCTCTCTCTATCTTAAATTTCACCTAATTTAAAAAATTCTCCCCCTTCTATCTCTCTCACTCTCCCTCTCTTAAATTTTCTTAAATTTATACAAAATTTGTTGCAAAATTGCTACAGTCAAACAAATTTCTCCATAACTTCAAATTGATAGAAAAAAAACCCCATATATATGTGGAGTCACTAAGAATCTCAAAGAAGAAAAAAAAAATAACAACAAAATTTTCAACGACTATCATGAGTTTGCAGCAAAATAGTAAACCTAATGTTGTGATTTCAATGCATGATAATTAACATGAACTAATTAATGGGGAATGAGAGAAGATAAGAAAGAGAAAGAGATTATTTTTTTACAAATTATTTTTTATGTTAACTTTGGTATAATATAAGATGTATTTGTAGGCTAAGTGTTTTCATTCATATATACTTTTTCAATTGAGAAGAGAGAAAGGTATATATGTAGAATTTGTATGAACTTATGGCTTAAATCTCATTAATCTTATTAGATCAATATATACACAAGGCTAACCCTAGAATTACCATAACATGGTAACTAGAAATTATGATACAATATAAAAGATAACCTCACATAACAACTAAATATTCCCAAGTATCTTTAACCAAAATATATATTTACAATACCCCCCCTCAAGTTGGAGTATGGGTGTAAAAAGTGCAACTTGGAGAGAAGATTGTCGAATTGCGCCTTCCCAAGTTCCTTCGTGAAGATATCTACCAATTGAGGAGTAGAAACATAAGATGGATAAATTAAGCCTTCATTAATTGCATCCTCACCAAAATGACAGTCAACATCAATGTGTTTTGTTCGCTCATGAAAAACAAGATTATTTGCAATATGCAAAGCTAACTCACTATCACAGAATAACTTGATTGCTTTGGGATGATGCACTCCCAAGCTCAACAACAAGGCCTTAAGCCATTTCAACTCACAAGTTATCACAGACATAAACTTATATTTAGCCTCAGCAGAGGACTTCGACACCGTGTGTTGGTTTTTAGTCTTCCACGAAATAGGTGAATGCCCGAGGAACACAAGCCAATGTGTTAAAGAGCGACGAGTAAGTGGACAAGCCGCCCAATCTAATCACACCAATCCTACAGAGTTAAGTCACTATCTACATTCAACAAAATACCCTGACCCGAGGTTCCTTTAAGTAGCGAACTACACGTAGAGTCGCTTCCCAATGTTTACTATGAGGCTCTTGCATGAACTGTGTACGCCAAGTCAGGCCTAGTGACCGCAAGGTAAATAAAATGGCCTACCAGCCTCCGATATGCCTTGGGATCCGTAAAAAGCTTGCCTGTAGCAAGACCAAGTTTGTGATTTTGCTCAATAGGAAATCCGCTTGGCTTTGCTCCTAACAAACCTGCTTCAGAAATAATATCCAAAGTATACTTCCTTTGACACAAAAACAAACCAAATGAACTTCGAGCAACCTCTATG